TAGCTGTTACCCCGCCTATCCCTGTTTCTAATAAAACTCTTTCCATAGCATCCTGAAATAAAATATATAAATGTAAGATACGAAATCTCTACATTCTCTTAGTTGCATTTAACATAATATTTTTACTGGGAATCCATGATCTTTTTGTTCAGCTGCTACTTTCAATAGAAGTGTCATCCTTTTCAAAAAATGATCAGCAATGTCAGTAAGCGTTTCTATAGCTAAATCTGATGAATATTCAAAACCCATGTGAGCTAATAAAACGATTACAGCATGTTTTAACAAATTATGCGCTGTTTCTGACGTTAAATGATGAACAATAGAGGAATTCTTGAATGTGTCTCTGAAAAAATAATCTAAACTTATCATTCAAATATAATTAATTAATATCATTGCTTAATAATTATACATACGTTTCAACATCTGCAGATAAAAATCGGAAAAGATTACATGGTATTTTAAATTCTTCTTGACAATTCTCTGCTTCGATCACAGATAAATTTCCCAATACTGTTCCTTCATCCTATTTATAATGATTACACTAATTAAATTATACTGATAGAATATTGATTATTTAAATAGATTGGCTACTTACCATCATTCTCAGTTGTTGATGAAAGTTTATAGTATTTAATACATGAAAGTTTCCTATAGGAAGCCTAAATAGATAGTTCAATATTATTATATAACATCTGTATTAATGTTATATTGTATGTCGTACTACTATTTTAATATATTTTTACTGTATATATTCTGGTTGTCGATCGATCTGATAATCGCAATCAGTATTATTTGCTTCATCCATAACTTGTCTCCAAACATTTTCTATAATATCTGGTGTAATTACTTCTTGTTTCAAAGTTTCTCTAGGAGGCAATTCTCCCCATAAGACAGTACTTCCATGGCTTTTGCTAGATTTCATTATTTCCTTGGAAAAATATAAAGTATATTCGTTTCAATACATTATTATAATAACACAAAAAAATATAGACCTAATGAATATGTAGTAACAATGCATAAATGTGCACACTTCAATCTTTTGTAATATTTTTATATTTGAACGTACTATATAAATAGCTGTATTCAAAATGAAAATATCAACTACACAGTATTATTCTATATTAGAAAATCCCGCGCAAAATGCTGAAACTTCAGGTTATACAAAGCGAAATGTAACTGCATTACCGAACAAAAAATATGCACATCTATTTTTTCCAAGAAATATTTTATTTACAAAACACTCGAACTTTATCATACCACATACTGATAAAACTCTTTCTTCATGAGATAATATTTCCCATGCAATACGGGAATAATACTTACCTGTATATGTTACAAAAACGTAATTGAATGTTATTAGGTTATAATATCTGTATTTTGTGTCCATATTTTGTCATAATATATAACGTTTCCCTTAAAATACACATCGATTTCCTTCGATTATCGATATCACAAAATTATACCACTTATGTATAAGAAAAAAGGTAATTATTAAAAAATAAACAATAATAAACAATTAATACTAATATTATTAGAAAGATTATATAGAGAATGAATTACAAATAAAAATATTTAAAAATATATTATATTATTATATATTGTATCATACAATTTTATATTTTTTTTCAAGTATTGTAGTATTAATAAGCAAAGGATTTTACTGATCAGTAGACACAATGGAAAATGCAGCAGTCTCAATTTTGAAGCGAGCTGTCGAAAAGGATGAAGAGGAACAGTATACTATGTCCCTTTTATTATACCAAGAAGGTGTACAAATACTTCTTGACACTATAAAAGGTTTAGTATATAATATATGAATTTCATTTATATATAAATAATTTTGATATTTATTATTTTTTGTATCAAATTATTGTAATCAAAGAATAAGTAATAAAATGCAGAGACAAAGGATCCAGTTAAAAGCAAACATTTTACTGTTATGACATCGCGATATCTGGATAGAGCAGAGAAAGTAAAACAATTAGTGGAAAGAAAGAAAACACAAGGTACATACAGAGAATTAATAAAGATTAAGGATGGCGCAATTGGTTATGGATACAATAGTCTTTTTGGTAGATTTTTGGACGCTATGGTTACATATATTCAAATAGAAGATCCATATATAAGGGCATTTCATCAGGTATATTAATTTTAATGTTTAATGTTTTAATGGTTTAATATTTAATATATAATATAATATACAAATATATTATTGTCTACTTTACTCACAGTGTCAAAATTTAGTAAGATTATGTGAATTGGCAGTTCAAAAATGTCATTCTCTATCAAAAATATCTCTCATTACTACATGCGATCCAGAAGATTTCAAAAATCAATCTAAAAGACTTGAAGAATTGAAACACAGCCTGAACTCGCATCTTATATCATTTGAAATTACATATTCTGATACATTACATGACAGACAAATTGTGTAAGATACTAACTTATTTTAATTTATTAGATATTTGACTTTATAAGAGATATTTATATTTATATTTTATTACAGACTTAGCAATGGATGGATAATAAAAATAGGACGTGGTTTAGATTATTTTAAAGCACCTAATGGAAAGTTTGTTTTGGGTTATTGTGATCTTGAATTAAGATCATGTCAGGAAACTACAGTAGATATCTTTCATAGTAGTCAACTGAAGGATACTGTACCATGATAGATAAAAATGAAAAGTAATTATTAAGACGCGAACATATCAAAGCAAAAATTTTATTTTCTTTAAACTAGTATTAATGTGTAAAAAATAATGAAATACGTGTTTTGTCGTGTTTTTACTTTAAGAAATAATTGAAATGAATTTCAATGATCAGTTTTTAATCTTAAAGGAAAGATTTTATCTTTTCAATGATCAGTTTTTATTCTTAAAGGAAAGTTTTTATCTTTTCAAGGTTCAATTTTTATTCTTGAAGGAAAAAAAAATTTCGCTTTAAAAACATAATTCTATATTATTAGATTTATTAAATATGAATACAGGGAATTCCTTATGTGAAAATTTTTGGCCAGACCAATAGGCTAGTTTTTATATTTTTATCAAAATTATAATATACCATTTATTCATTTATATTATTATATAATTATATTTTGCGAGAATCATTTATTCAATATTGCAAAGTATATTAAATTTATTCAATTAATATCAATTATATACTTTTTATTTTTGTATATATAGGTTTTCTTTTATTTTATAATAGAACATTTATAAAACATTTACATTATTTACAATTTTTCTTCGGCCTTTTACACTTGAGTATACTTCGAGAATTAATGAAATTAATTAAAATAATCGTGTGCTCTTGCTACATCTATCTGTTTCACAGCTTTCTTGCATGCTCGTCTTAAAGATTTAGTATACTTTAGAAGTCCAGCTTCTATTTGTTCTTCATCTTCAGTGAGAAGATAATTCACGTCGTACGTGGGAAGACAATCGGCACCTCCAACTGCAACTACTTGTCTCGCTATCTCTGGATCTACGCAAAGCCTTATCAGAGCAGCTGCAGCCGTGGTCTCTAAACGCTGATATGCGTCCTCCAAACCTGGAGGTCTCATTCTAAGGAAACAAACCAATGCAACGGATGCTCGTGCTTTAGCTAAGTATTCTCGAGCTTCTGGTAAACGCGCCAGTTCACCTATGAGAGAAGCCACTTGCTGCATCAACCAAACATTTCCACCGTTTGATTTTTTCACGCTTCTCAATAAATTTCTTACCGTGTCTTGTCGTATTATAATATCAGCGCATTTTCTTGATTTAGATATTTGATTGAATGCAGCGGCTGTCAACAGTAACGTTTGTTCCGAATTCATATTTTCAATAAGATTTCCTAAAGCAGTAATTAATGTTTCCGCAAATGGTTCGACATATGGTAAGCCTACGGCATTGGTCCATGGTGCAGTTATCTGTACTACCAAAGCCGTAGCTTCCATTTTGTTGATTTCCGACGATGTTTTACTGGACAAGAGGTCAATTACAATTTCCGGTCCGTCGTCTTTAACGAAGTGCTCAATTGCTGTTCTCGAACAGCATACGCTCGACAGAGCGCGTAGAGACGTGGCTACGTAATCATTTGATTTCCTAATGGCAGAAATGAGAGAAGTTAGGAGAGCCCTAATTCCTGAACATCTCGCGATACTACTGCCTGCTCGTGCTCCGGCTAAACCCAAAGCCGTGAGAGCTGCTAGAGCTCCTCTAACTACACTACTGTCTTCCTTCGGTGCTTCTTCCAAACATCTTACTATTTTCTGCAAGAATAATTAATTATTGTTAATAATCAAACGAGTAAATTCTTCATTTTTTATAGGTACTATCTTAAATAAGATAACGAACCTCAATATAAAAATCTAAACGGGTATTAATAGCACTGTCGACGTAATCTTTCATGCTGTCTAATTGCATGAGAATTCCTTTCAAATTCGTTTGCTGAATTCTTCGAGGTGGAGGTGCTCCTAATTTCGATAAAACTGCAAAAGCATTGTCCTCGATGGCACGTAATAGCTCCATTTGTAATCTGCCGCTTTTCGAATGCGACACCTCGCTAAAAAGTTAGATTGTATCGTGTTAATACATGAAACGAATTAAACGAACGTTATTTTTTATAAATATTAAAAAATACACTTGCTTTAAGATATATTGATAATGACGTTCAAATTGGTCAGCTCTAACGAGAAGTTTGTTTGCAGCTGCCGTAGCCAAGGAAGATAACATCTTCAAATCTTTCATTTGATCCTCTTCCGAAATTAAATCGTTATGCTTTCGCCGAGGTAGATTTTTACTTTGAAGAGCGATACAACATTCATTTGCAGTTTCTATTGTCAAGTCATTTAACCAAGTCTTTATTGGCGATGCAATCTTGCCATTAACATTTTGAAAATTATCAAAGAAATCGTACGAAAAATTCGTTGCAAATATTTTTGTTATTCTTGTAGAATTTAACGATTCGTCTTCTAACAAGCTAGACGAAAGATTAGGTAAAGCAGTCACTCTAATCTTCGTTCTGAAAAAGAGATCATTCGTATTACGATCGCTTACGTTAATTGTAATTGTTAATTGTTTGTAATTTGGTTTTGTATTCTTGTTCTTCTTTTTCTTTTCCTTTTATTTCATATACTACCTTAAATGAGACATAGCGTAAAATGTAAGAATCAAAATTTCATAATAACAACACAATTGTATTTTCATTCGACAAGGCACAGGATATTCTCGATTTCTTTTGTCACCGAATGCTTTCCGGGATAATGGATCAGAGTAGAGAAGCGATAGTGAGTAAAGGCTGACTAATCAGCCACCTCCGGAACTGGAATTTTCTTGTGAATAGGATGACTAATCTCGATTCTTGAAAAGAGCTATGCAGCTATATGATCACCTGCACCCGTCTTATACTCGCGTATATTAGCTTAAATTCTTTTTAGATACGTTGTCCCTCGATGAGATGATCGAAATCGACCTTCTCATTTTTTTCTTTCATTCGTGCACGCGTTCTATGACATACATGTAACATTTTGCACGATGCAACTAAACGTTAACGTGAGCATAGATTGAGCTCTATCGAGAAAAAATATCTGTGTCATGCAACGTCAACGATTTCATAAAAAAAGTGACTTGATGTTAATCTCGCAAAATCCATTGAAAAATAATTATTATTTATTTACATTTAATCATTGTTTATTTATACTTCGATTCTTTTTTCAAACAAATATGTTTAATTAAAATTATATGCATATAGTTAATGAGTTTACTTTGTAAGCTATTTAAATTAATGCAGATCCGTAGAAAACGGCGTTTTGCGTTCTCCTTTAAACCGACAGAGTATCTTAGTTATTTGTAACGTCGTAGAAGGCAAGACCTTCCGTATTATGAGACATCTTGTGCATATAAAGTACTCGTCGGCTACATTGGAATATTAATCGTCAATGTTAGTAGGTAGAATATTTTTTAGTCGCGCAATACGTGTCTTCTAGTATATCAAAAGAGATTACGACAAGCCTATCAATGCGTTCAAAGATACGATGCTCTACTTTCAATATAGCCCTGGAGATATCAATAAATATACATACCCTAGACAAATAATATTTACTAAATAGTCAAATTCAACGTCACTTTTATCGTATTTACATTGAATTAATCATAAATAAATTGCAAAGAAAAATTTTTCTACGCAAAAGATACACATACATTCATGCAATAGTATCTATTTACGAAAGCCATAAGAATAATAAGGCGAAGTTCGTTACGCGTCGCATTCCTATCGGTTTGGCTCACCATGGGCATATTATCGCAACAATTCACTCAGCTTTCATAAAATCTACATGTTCTTTATGTCTTATCGTTCATAAAAAGATTTCAATATCTAAAATAAATCTATTTTTTGAATCTTAAAGTATTCAGTAAGATCATTGCATAATTCGAAGTACTTTTATTTATTATAATTTGGTAAATATCAGACTATTCTATATACTTTCTAAATCCATCATCTTATTAATAAATACTAAAAAATACCTTTGATCTCGTTGAAAGTTTTGTATTTTGGGATCCTTCGGGGTTGAAGTACAAGTTGGTCGAGGTATTAAATTGTTTTCCGAGCAAAGAGAACCAATTTTATGACGAATTCTACGATTTCTTTCCTTAGCTTTCCTGCGTCGTCTTCTACGTCTCTGCGGACTTTCATCTTCTAAAGTCTGTGAGCAATTCGATCGTTCGGAGTCAGAAAAACCAGAATCTAGACTCTTTAGATCCTGACTGAGAGGACTGAGAGATCTGTTCTCTGAAACAACGATATTTCCTTCGTTTTTGTGCGTACCAACACTGATATCCGTTCTCTCTCTACAAATGGTAATAAAATTCGTATTGTGAATAGAAATTCTTTCAGTTGATATCATAAAATATAATCAGTTTCCATGACTTACTCTTGAAGTATCGTCGGATTTTCTCTACATCGAATCAATGTATCATCAAAGGTCTTATCGCGTTGCGTTTCACTGACTCTCGGACAAACGTGTATAACTGTTACGTTATCAACGTTCGTGAAATTATTTTCGCGTAAACTGGAGGATCGATTTTCTTCATCGTTTTCTGAAGGATAATCCGTGTCGGTGGATGGAGGAGGAGGAAATTGAAAAACTTCAACAGGATCTTTTCTACGGATCGTAAAATCCTTCTTTAAATCCTGCGATGACATTTGTTCCCAAAATACTTTGCTTTGGTGTCTCTTGAAGGTATTCATCTTTTGCTTTCAATTTCCAATAAATTCACAAAATACTGCGTTAATTTTTAATGTTTTTTCGTTAAAATGTCATAACGAAGAACAAAAAGTATGTTTTGCGTGTCGTAATCGAAGAAGAAACAGAAGAAGAAGAAGAAGGAAAGGTTTTAAGAAGGGTGCCAGCGGTGGTCACAGTTGGTCTCTTCGTTGGGTACAATACAACAAGGGTAGTTTAATGATTCAACAGAGCAGAACAACGGCTCTCCCACAGGTCGCGTGGCTTCAGAACACCTTATGGTCTTCTCGTTTGAACCCCTATGAAGAGTATTCCTGTTAGCTGTATATTTTTAAAACTAGTTAACGTTCTGGAAATTTAATTTTTCGATAATGAAATCTTGTAATGTTCCAAAGTGGTAAGAAGAAACGTCACTTCTATTATTTTTTTTTAATTAAAAATATTTCATTTTCCGATAATTATTAAATCAAAAAGATAGAATCTAAATAATAATGATGATCGTCAAGTTCACGCGATACTGATCCCAACGCGTTGATGTACCGCAAGCGACTGACTCTGACCGACTCGTTTCCGACTTCTCCGCCTTACTCGATACGCCTCCCTTTTGCGTTCTCGTATAAGCCAAGTCATACATGAGACTGGAACTCCTCCCCTTCTTTTTTGTCGCCCTTGCGGGGTGCACCACCTTTCTCCATTCTTTCTCTACCCTGATCCATAAGTGAGGTGAGGTACTACGTCTCGTCACAGTATATGTGTAGACTGTACATCATGACCGTTAAAGCGTAACTTCGTGTAACTCTTTGCATAATTGATATTCATCGACATATATCTGTGTTAATTTGATTTTCAATGCGTTTTTTCGTTTTTAATTTGCAAAAGTAAAAAAATAAAAAAATATTGCAATTCATGAAAAGATTTTCTTTTTAGGTGACAAATCATCTTCAGGAAGAATATTGATAAAAATAGTATAAATAGAGAGAAATTAATATTTCTATTATTTCATGACGTCTTATTTATTATTATTGGATCACACTTATGTACATACTTATATACACACGTATGCATCACGTTTCTTACCGCCGTTTGTCGTGCGTAGGTACGTGCGTTCGTGCGTGAATGACTCATCCAAGGGGCCAAAGGGGACGGAACATGCATCACCATGGGCATTTTAACACAGATGCCCCGTACGGCGCGTGCCCTCGAACCAATCGGACGCCCCTATGCTGCTTCCGTAACGGCAACCACGTCTGCACGAGTCATTTTCCTATGACCCCCTCTCGATCGAGAGGACTACAAAACGAGGAGAAGAGTCACACCTGGCCCTTAAAAGTTCTCTCTCCATTGGTGTGATTTTGTGACGCTTCGCTAGACTTTACCATTTACATACTCATATCCGTGTATATGTGCATCTATTATTAAAGAAGGATAATCGTATATCTCAAAGATTCATCTAAAATAATTCAAAATTTCGCTTCTTTTTCCCTAAGAAAAATTCAACTTCCTATTTCATTCACATCTAGAAATATAAACAAAAAGTTTGAGTATTTTACATATATTTAAAATTCTCATCTTTCATTCTTTTCATAATTTTAAAAAGAATAGAAATGCAGACTGGTTTTTTATTTCCAACGAATTTGAAAGTTACAAAACTAAAAGATAAAGACATTTGAATGTGATCGATTCTTTCAGACTTTTCTATCGAATAAGTCCATCCTACCGGTATTCTTTATCCTATTGTTTAGATTCCAAAGGGACTAAGTCCATATGTAGTTATGTATTGCACGTACAAAGCTATCGTAGGGCTCGTGCGACCCCTATTGTATGTACATACATACGTACTATGAAATCGAAGGGACAGCTGCGAATAGACCGTTATTTAAACGCGTGCTTTCATCCAGATTGATCGTTGGGTTTTAAATCTTCAATGTGACTGATCTAATATCCTAAATATAAACTTTGATAATTATTTTTCCGATCTTTATAAATGGACTAAGAAGTAATACAAATTCACATTATAAAAATTAATTAAAAATTTCCACGTACATACGTATTCAAATATAATAACTACAACTTGATATATAAAGATTTGTATGCAAGATAGAGCATTTAAATCGGAACATCTAAATATCTACGTTATTTATGGCTTTATGGAAAAAGTTCTTAGAACAAAGTTATACTATTTAAAGGAACACATTTTTTTTAAAAATGACTTCAAGAAAAAAATTATCTTAGCGCTATATTGTGTTCCTTCGAATACTCTAATTGTAACCTAAGAATTTTTTCCATAAAATTATAAATAATGGAGATATTTAAGTCTTCCAATGTAAATGTATAGAACCTATCTTGTATATGTATAGAGCACCCGGAAATATTCGAATCTAAAATTTCTATAAACTAAAATCTTAAAGGAAATTTAATTCTGAATAAAAAGTTTTTAATAAATATGGATCGAAAAATGTATCCTTAGCGTCCTCTAAAAAAACCTCTAAAATTACGGTTATTTTATATATTTTTGTGAATATTAGAAAAAATATAAGTTTTTTAATAAGAAGTATCGAAACAAAAATTATAGAGAATTAAATTATTTTTATGAAATATAAGGAATTAATTGTACCATGTTTTATAAATTTTGAGATAACCAGTTCCAAATGTATAAAAAGTGTATTTTCGGCTATCGACGGCAGAGCTTCTTAAAAATATTCTTTATTTATACTGTAATGGCTTTACCTAATTGATTACTTCAATAATTAAAAGAATTTATTATCTGCATTGTTTAAACAAATCACCATAAGAGGACGAAAACACTTTTATATATATTTGAAACTGGTTATTTTAAAATTTATAAAATATATTACAATAATTTTGATCTCATTTGAAAAATTATTTAATTCTTTACAACTTTTATTTGAGTACTTTTTGTTAAAAATGCATATTTTCTTTGATATTTATAAAAATGAAAACAACGGTAATTTCAAAGGTTTTTAGATGCTAGCTTTTTAAAGAATTTTCGACCCATGAATATGGGAGACTTTTTGTTTAAAATTAAATTTCTTATAAAATTTCAAAATTTGGCCGAAATGTTCAGGCCACCTTGTATGTATGATATCACTTATTAATATATAATATCGATAATATAAAATAATGTGTTCATTAACAAAAAATTTATCTTTACTAATCCATTATTTCTATCAACATATACAATATCAGCATATACAAGTTTTTATAAAGAATAATTAAGTTTATACAAATATCGTTGATTTTTTAATAAAATGTTAAAATAAGTGTTCCAAGGATTTTTTAAATTGTCACAACAACCAAATGAAATTTGTCAAACATGACTGAAAATATAAATTCATTACTTTTCTGCTGTTTTCAAAATAAATGTTATTCGAGACTAAAAATTTTTGTATAATTAAAATCAAAAACAATATTTTATAATAGCATCTTAATTGTTTTTTTCTTTAATTAAATATCGTTATATTGTATCTCTTATAAAATCATTCATAAATGCACACACGAACGAAATCATTGAAATTATTTTCTTTATGTATAGATTCTCTTAACAGAGCTTCAGAGAAAAACCTTACAAATAGCCATAAAAGGACTTGAAATTGGAATCACCAAAGCACAGTCGATATTTTTGATGTCCTCTAGCGATAAAATTTCGAAATATAAAATTCTGAATCATTAGTATTATTTCCGTTAGAGCTACTTTACGAGTGGTATTTCAGTTAAATAATAAAATTGAATGATATCTTTTGATTGGTTTATATTTTAAACTCTTGATAATCGTCCAATAGGAAAAGAGAGCAAATTGTATTTTATTCGATCGCAGCGCCATTATATCTGGAATCTCCTTACGTTTGTCGTGTCTTTCGTTTTCCTCGAAGTTAGAATTACATTTGATATTGGATTCAGATATAGATTCTTTCATAGCGTTTCACGATGGTAATTTAAAATTTTGCTTTTTATAGTATAAAATGAGAAACAAGAATTCGTGTTTATTGTCAATGTTAATAAGATAAAACGAAATCGGTAATAGCTTATATGAAGATGTAACAAATGGCGCACGTGTATTACTGCCAAACGATATTTAGAATAATAATCTTGATTTTGTTATTAATTTTATTTTGATTAAGCGAAATATGCGATATATGTATATATACATATATATTCTCCTGTATAATACTTCAATTATATTTGTTGGTTATTAGGTTTCCTTAAATCCTGTAAGGATTCTCAAAAATGAGGCAGAGGAGGAAAAGGCAGAAATTGCTAGATTGAGCTTATTTGTAGGAGCAATAGCGATAGGAGATTTGGTAAAATCGACATTAGGACCTAAAGGTATGGATAAAATTTTGGTAGCTCATGGAAGATCTGCAGGTCAAGTACAAGTTACCAATGATGGAGCTACAATTCTTAAAAGCGTTGGTGTAGACAATCCTGCTGCTAAAATTTTAGTTGACATGTCACGTGTTCAAGATGATGAAGTTGGAGATGGGACTACTTCTGTTACAGTACTTGGTTTGTATATTTGTATAATGATATAATATTGAATTCTATCAAGTTAATGTTAAAATATTTAATTTATACATAATGCATTAAAAATTTTTTAGCTGCTGAATTATTGAAAGAGGCAGAAAAATTAATAGAACAAAAAATTCATCCACAAACCATTATTTCTGGTTGGAGAAATGCAACTAATGTAGCAAGAGAAGCACTCAAAAATGCAGCTGCAGATAACTCTGCAGATAGTGAATGCTTTCGTGAAGATTTACTGAATATTGCACGTACAACTTTGAGTTCAAAGATCTTATCTCAACATAAGGAACACTTTAGCAAGTTGGCAGTAGATGCAGTATTGAGACTTAAAGGGTCTGGAAATTTATCGGCTATTCAAGTAATTAAAAAACGTGGAGGAACTCTTTCAGATTCTTTTCTGGATGAAGGTTTTTTATTAGATAAAAAGCCTGGTCTTCATCAGCCTCAAAAAATTACAGATGCACATATACTTATAGCTAATACTCCGATGGATACTGACAAAATTAAGGTAAAGAACTTATACTGATTTTTTTTTTAATATTACAATATATATAAGAATATTGAATGTGTTATTATATGTTCTGCATTAGGTATTTGGCTCCAGAGTTCGTGTTGATTCTATGGCAAAAATTGCTGAATTGGAAGTAGCAGAGAAAGAAAAGATGAAGGTGATTATAGATTAAAAGATGAATAGATATAAATAGAAAAATATTACAATGAATAGCAATAATTTTTTTCATAGGATAAAGTTGAAAAAATCATAAAACATGGTTGCAATGTTTTCATAAATCGACAACTAATTTATAATTATCCTGAACAATTATTTGCTGATGCTGGAATTATGGCTATTGAGCATGCTGATTTTGATGGAATTGAAAGACTTGCTCTTGTTACTGGCGGAGAAATAGTCAGTACATTTGATCATCCTGAGATGGTAAAACTTGGTAAATGTGAACTCATTGAACAGGTTGGTATTTCTTGGATACACATAATATAAAATAGTATATGAATTAGTAAAATATACATTATATTTTTGAATAGGTGATGATTGGTGAAGACACACTACTTCGATTTTCTGGCGTTGCTTTGGGAGAAGCGTGTACTGTCATTATACGAGGAGCTACTCAACAAATTCTTGATGAAGCAGAACGGTCATTGCATGATGCTCTTTGTGTTTTGGCGGCAACAGTACGTGAATCACGAATTGTTTATGGCGGAGGTTGCAGCGAAATGGTAATGGCATGTGCTGTTATGAAAGCAGCAGCTGCGACTCCTGGAAAAGAAGCAGTTGCAATGGAAGCTTTTGCAAAAGCTTTACAACAATTGCCTACTGTTATTGCTGATAATGCTGGTTATGATTCAGCTCAATTAGTCAGTGAACTAAGAGCCGCGCATAATTCTGGAGCCAATACGATGGGTCTAGGTAAGTTTTAAAAAAAATTAAAAATATTATGACAATATAAAAAAAAAACTTTATATAAATACTATCCATGATTATTTTCACAGATATGGAAACAGGAAGAATCGGTTGTATGAAACGACTAGGAATTACAGAATCATGGGTTGTAAAGAGACAAGTTTTACTAAGTGCTGCAGAAGCAGCAGAAATGATACTACGTGTGGATGATATTTTAAGAGCTGCACCAAGGAAGCGCGTCAAGGACCGTGGACGTTGTTAATAGTGAAAATGATTTAATTGCTATTACATTATTTACATTGCTTCTCTGATTTGTAATACGCGCATTATATCGACTTACTTATATTTCAAACTAAATATTACACACATCCTCGTTTTTATTATTTAATACACTTATTTCGAACAACTTAAAAGTTGGCATTGTATTAATTCTTCTATAAAAAAAAAAAAAAAAAACTATACATTACATTATTTATCATACATATAAACATTTTTATAAAATAATCTATTCCTTCCAAAAAAAATTAATTCCATGAAAATAATGAATTTTAGAGTACTCGTCCAATGTTTGTTAATCCTATTCTTTAGTTTCTGTTTATATTTTGAATAAACCGCCGTTATAGACAATCGAAAATTTATTTAGTATCAGTCAAAATTAAAGAAAAAACATATTTGGATAATTGCTAATTATAGCCTGAATTTTGTTTAATTATAATTGAGAAATAATTCTAATACTAAATTATATAAAAAACAACGTTTACAACAAGAAGTGGTCAAAGATTCGGCTAGAACTAACCTAAACATTTTAACAACGTCAGTACACTAATGCACAGAACACTGAACCAGTCAATCTCATGATTCTTTTGTTAAATATTAGCATATTTAAACAATTATCTGTCCAACATGATACATTTATTTAAATTATAAAAAAGGGTAGATGAGTATGATTTTTACATTTTTGTTAGATTTTATTTACATCGAATGGATACTTACTAAACACGATTTATATAGCTCAGATTAGATACATAAAAATTAATTAATTATAATATAATTCATGAGAATCTTCATATGCAGTAATCTTCACGTGGAGAGACTTAGGCAATCTATATTATTTGCATTATAAAAATTATTCTTACCTAATGTGAATAATGCAAGTATAGTCAAGCTAATGACTACATTTTGATATTTTCTATTAATTAGATTCTGAAAAGTTGATTTAACAAAAATCTTTTTATAAAAATAGAGTATTGTTTGAAATTTGAAACGTCGATAAATGACTTGAATTAATAAATAATAAAAATATGTTATATTAAAAATGATTTTGAATTTAACGCGCGAACGGTTGGTCTGTGATGGCGGATAGTTGTGTTTATATTTCTATTACGTTTGATGTGCACGTTGCAAATGTTTTTACCTTAGTATTTATTATTTTATAAATATTATTATTTTTCAATTTATTATGATAATGTAAATTTTTGAATAATATTCATACATAATACACATTAAAAGTGGCCAAATTCATCAGTAATTTTACCCACTTCTTTACGAAATAAATAATAGGACCTAATAGCTGATTGAAAAGTACTTAAATGTCTAAAAGTAGTATATTTAATTTTTTTTATAAACATTGACTATGATTTCGAACTAATTATACGCGATAGTGTATAATTACAGGTTAAGCATCAGTTTGTAAAGCAGAAAAGTCTTTGTTATTATTCTAATACAAAATATTGTGATTCGATTATTATTGTGCAAACAAAATGACAGAACTTCTTACAACATCAATTACATCTAATGAAATGCAAGAAAGATGTAGTATTTGGGTGGAATCACAGAATGAACATTTATATTCTGAAGACACATCCAAAGATAAAACAGAAAATAGTTGTAACGACTATGAAACCGACTCTGAATTTGATTCCGTTTCAGAATGTGGTGGTAAAAGACGTAGAGTAGGGAAATATTTAAAGCATGAAGTTTTACATTTAGTTTGTGAATGGAAAGATTGTAAATTTGATAATAATTACATTGAAGTATTTACAAGACATGTTGCTAATCATATAAGCGATTTAGAAATAAAAGTTAAAGAAGACAATACAGAGGTTTATGTATGTAAGTGGAAAAATTGTTCATATGAAAGTGGTATTTCTGACGAAATTTCACGACACGTCAATTACCATTCTTATCATACTAAATTAAAGTGTATTGGAACAAATATTCGTGGAAGAATAAAATTGCCTGTAATTATTATGATAATTAAATAATTTCAATGGTATCAAGTAAATTATTTATCACAAAAAAATAAATTTTTTACAGAAATGTAATAGAGATGCAGATTGCAAGAATATTTTTGATTCACCAGTACCACATATCTGTAGATGGGAAGAATGTTTAAAAATTTTTTCTAATTATCAGATGTATTTGTATCATATAATTGCTCATATAGATACTAATCCACGTGGTAACAAAGTAGAAGGTGGAATTGAATGTAAATGGACTGGATGCAAAAATAAATATCCTAGTTTATATAAACTTAGAGATCATATGAGATGTCATACTAAAGAAAAAATAGTTGCTTGTCCGGATTGTGGTACTATGTTTGCTTCCAATACAAAATTTCATACTCATTGTAAAAGGCAAATTCCTATAGATGGTAAGACAAATATCAAACATTATATTTCACTTTTTATTTTCTTTAGATATTTGTAATATTACTTTTGTAATTTTTATCATACTACTTTAATGATTTATTTTTCAGTGCAAGGATTTCAATGTTCACATTGTAATAAATTCTATCCAACAGAAGGCATTCTCCGTGATCATATGAGATTGCATGTATTTAATTATAAATGTACTTTATGTGATATGACTTGTGAATCTCCAGCCAGTTTAGCAAAACACGTGAGGTATCGACATGTATCCACAAGAACTTTTCCATGTCAGTTGTGTTCTCATGCTGCTAAGTCCCAACAAGATTTAGATTCCCATATGACTGTTCATACAAATGGACCTAATTTCTCTTGTCACTATGAAGGTTGTTCTTTCACTTGTAAGGGTGCTTATACATTAGACAGGTATTTTGATTTTTATATATCTACTATGATAATATGTGAAACTATATCTATCATAAAAATTTTAATTATTGTAGACATGTTGAACGTATACATAGTTTAGAAGTGAGATGGTATTGTTGTCATGAATGTCCTGTTAAATATAGAAAAAGTTATCGCTTAACTAAACATCTTATTGAAGCACATCATTTACAATTACCTAGTGGTCATAAGCGATTTCAATATGTACAAGATGAAGATGGCTGTTATAAACTTCAAATGGTTAGATATGAGACAGTAGATGAAGAAAATACTTTATCTATTGAAAAACCAAATATCACAGAAAAAAAATATAAGCTTAAATTAGATAAGACTTCATCATTGGTAAAAGTAGAAGTAAGAACAAATATATTGATTCAATTTGTACATGTTTGGTTAGATTAATATGTTATAAATGTTAAATTATTTCATTTTTTCAGATTTTAGAAGATAATACAGAAGATGTGCAAGATTTACAAATAAAACCTATAACAGATTTTAATATGGGTAAATCAATGCCTATTATATCAAATATTTTAATAACTTTTGATGAAATAGATGAAAAAGGAAATATAACAAAAAGTAGAATTATAAATTCTCAAAGTATATAAAATATCAGGTCATAAAAGCTTTTATTAGAAGCAAAATAAATAAAAGAATAGAAATATAGTCTGATAGTTATATACATACATGTGTGCATACGGACGCACGCATACACACTTTATTTTAATAGAAAAATTACAAAAATAAGAATTTTTAAATTAAACAATTTTGTTTTTATTCCTTTTCTTTATAAAAAAATATTTATCAATTTTTGATATCCAAAAGTTGTTTTATGTGGATAGAACTTTACCAAGTTACGTAAAATGAATAAAGTGTACTCTTTTGATGCTTGCTGCAATTATACGTTCTTTAAAATGTGCACTTATGTTTAATGATATAATCGGTTCTGTATCTAATATTATTAGTCTTGCCAAAGTAGAATTCAAATCTAATATATTCCAATTTTCCACACAATATATACAAACATGACCTAAAAATATGCATACGATTGGTATTATATAATATAATGAATTAAATATTTTTTTGTGAAAGAGATAATAAAATATATAAAACATAGAAGCAAATACTATATACAATACAATTTACCTGAGTTTAAACCTAATACGAGAAGGTGTGCATAAACTAAGACAGCAGTGGGTGTTCCATGAAATATGGGAAGTATATTATGAAATTTCCACTTTCCACCATGAATAGAAAAACCTAAGTGTCCATGTTCTAAAATTAACAAAAAGTAAGATAATTGATATTTTTATTTATTTTTATCAAATTTACCTGTAATACATACTGCTATATTAGTAAACATATAATAATCACGGATATATAGTTTTGGTGGTTTTACAAATTCTGTGATAAATACTTCTTCACCTTCTGCCAACTGTACATTAATGAAATGTCCTTTCTTTGTATAAAAGGATATCTATATTTAAATTTATATTTAATACAATTCTTATTAAATCTATATATAAAATATATTAACCAAAAATTAAAAATGTTTGAAAATATGCTGTAATATATACAAAAAAAACATTCAAATTTATACATTAAACAATATATATATATATAGATATTAGACATTTTAGATATTTTATTTTCGTAAAATTAGATACCTTATTACCATCTGCAGCACCAGCAACAATTTCATCAACAGGAAGTTCATACAATGTCCTGGGAATACATCCTTGGACAATTAATGTATTCTTTATGACAGTATAGCAATAACTTTGACTTGTACTGCGTGAAAATATAATGAAGCAAATAAGTGGAACAAATACTAACTTTCTCTATCTTTATAAATATTTGTGACATTATTAAATAATAAGCTTTTTTACCTGAGTAATTTTCCATGATCCTTTTTAATGAGTTCCTTAGATTCAAGATCCCAGAATTTGATATGACCATTTATACAAGAAGATACAAGAATAATTTTTCTACCTATAGAATGTTATATATTAAATGATTTCATATATAATTATGAATATGAAAAACTTTTTTACAATATAATACAATAGAGTTTACACTATTATATTAACATACTATTTTTCAAAAATTTAATTTTATATAAAAATTCCATATGATTTGCTACATATATTGGTTTATTATTTAAAGCATCAATATTGTAAAAATAAATATATCCTTTGGATGTACCTATAGCCAAAGTATTTTCTATAAAAAATAATTATTTATTAAAATAGTAAAAAAAATTGAATTGTTCTTAATATATGTATACATATACTGTTTTACCCAATACTGCAGTACAGGTAATGATTTCTTGAAAATGATATTTTGGCAATGGATCTAAATTTTCAAGAAAAATATTATAATATGTTAATTTCTTGCACTTAGTCCACCATTTATACATATTCATCCATATTTCTCCTTCTTTTTTTGCATTTTCCAAATCAACATATGATCTATTAGGATATAATGTTTCAAACAGTAAACTCCATATATTTTGTGATATTTCTTCCTTACATTTTTTATACCAAAAGTTACGTTCCTAAAATAATCGACCTGACAAAAGTATCTATCTAATAGTATCTAATTAAAAATAGTATCACTTTTTACAGAAAAATAAATATTTACCTTTAAGATTTTATCAATAATTTCTCTCCAAGAATTACATACAACTTTTAATTTTGTAAGAGTTATTGTATCAACATATAAAAATATCTGTTCCCAGATCTCTATAGGTAAAGCCATCATTTCTCTATTTATATATATATAAACCATTTACTATTAATTATATATATATTGTGTTCACAGAAAAAACGGCATTTCATATGGTTCGGTCAAATCCCGCTCGACGGAACGCCCATTTTGCCCCCTCCATATCATCAAATGGGTCCTGTAGACTATCAGAACCGAATACAGCCGGAAAAGGACCCCGCGCACATAAGCTTTTACGCTTTATTTCATTAGAGATTTATAATATTAGAGAGTTAATAGTTAGATACAACGGTACTTTGTTTTATGTATACGGCTCTGAGTAGCGTGCTCTAGTTCCTCCATCTGATCGTCATACTGTCCATCCAAACCGAATGGAACAAAATCGTTCTCTCCGTGAAGATAGTATAAAAATAATTTTAATATTTGGACATGATATATTACAATAATTAAAAAGTTCATTAGTACATGTACAGGATTTTAGTTTATTTAGTTTTAGCACAATTTATATTAAGATTACTATATAAAACAAAGGTAACCTATTATTTCTTTGAAATTGATATAAAAATAATATATAAGTATACATTAGATGTACCGGAAAGTTCTGTCCGTTACAACAAGTTTCAACAAGTATGTGCATATTCATTTGATGCATATTTGCCTCTCTCTATTTATCACTGAATGTATACATACAAGCGAATGAACTAAACGAAGATGATTCATGTTAATATTGAGATCGTGTATCCATGGTCACTGATAAAGTTCATTTACGCCACTGTATTTTGTACGAATTCCAACAAGGAAGAAATGTTATAGGAGCGTGTAAAAATTTATTGGAAATGTTTGGTGAAGGTCAATTTCTGATAGAACATGCAGAAGATGATCCGAAAATTTTGAAATAGGTGATTTCGATCTTGCTGATAAGCCACGCTCTGGGTGACCATCTTTGATCGACGATAACGATATTGTCAATACCATGTTAGAGCAAAATCCTTTTTTGACAACATCGGAGATTGCGGAAAGGCTTAATTCAACTCAACAAACCATTTCGGATCATATTCGGAAACTAAGATTGGTGTAGAAATATTTGAGATTGGTATCACATGAGTTAAATGAGAAGAATTTGAATGATTAAGTCATCATATGCACATTTCTGCTTGCACGGAACAAAATCGAACCCTTCTTAGATTAGATGATAACTGGGGATGAAAAGTGGATTACCTACGAAAACATCGTAAGGAAAAGGGCCTATTGTAAACCCAGAAAACCTCCATCTCTAAACCGAAGATAGTCTAAGAATGTTGTGTATATGGTGGGACATTTAAGGACCAATACATTTTGAGCTGTTAAAACCAAACGAAAAGGTAAATTCGGAGAGATACTGTCAGCAATTGGATAATTTAAAAACAGCACTTCAAGAAAAGAGGCCGGCGATGTTCAATAGGAAAGACATCATACTGCTTCATGTTAATGTCAGGCCTCATATTGTTTTAGGGACCCATCAGAAACTCTTAGAGCTAGGCTGGGAAATTCTGTCGCATCCACCATACTCCCCGGACCTAGCATCCTCCGATTATCACTTGTTTCTGTCCTTACAAAATTTTTTTTAAGGCAAAAAATTCACAAACGAAGAAGATATCAGATAAACACTAATTCAATTTTTCGCCTTTAGGAATAAGGTATTTTTTAAACATGGGATATACAAATTGCTATCACGCTGGCAAGAAGTCATAAATAATGATGGCAATTATATTATTCAATAAAGTTTATTCAAGGTATGAAAAATTTATTATTTTGTTTTATTCTAAAAACGGACAAAACTTTCCGATAGACCTAATATTAACTAATTATTATTTTTTTATCAAATAATCATTAAATCTTGATTGTAGTCACAAATTTATGTATTTTATATACACTTGTCAACAGAATTCTAATATATTCAATCTATATGTGTAAATATTATTAGCAATATAAAGTGATAGTACTTTAATATTTAGACAAAATTTGAATCAAAAAATTTTGAAAATACACTGAAATATGTAGTCATTTGTTCGGTAATACTCAATATATCGCAAGTAATACTGAACTAGGTCTCATCACATGAAGATTGGTGCATCTGAAGACCTGCCGGCTATGACTCTAATCTAAAATAATAGAATGAAATTCTATTATTTAAGATATTAGAATTTAAGATATTAGAATGAAATATTATTTACCGAAAATTCAGGTCCTAACACTAATTGGATGAGGGTAAGTCCTTACGGATAGCTAGATCGTCGCAATATCGGCAGCTTCATATATCATTTTTTAATACAATCGATCTCCTATTCGAAATTTTGAGCAATAAAACGAGTCCACAATAGGACTTTAAATCGTGCTCACGAGTGTTAAAATAATTTTCTACTTTAAGAGCCGCGTTCCCGGAATGATATGAGCTTATCGAGAATTCAGGATTCTAACGTTATCTGGTCGGTCTCGACTGCTTACGGATAACAGGACCATCGCAACATCGATAGCTTCATGTACTATTTTTTAACAAGACCAATCTTCTAATCGAACTTTTAAATAATAAAACTAGTCCATGATGGGACTAATCCCGACGGGTACGTGGATGTTTTACTTATCCTGCCCATTGTGAAGAAAAGAAGAGAAAAGGAGAGAAACAGAAGGAAAGAAGGAGAAGAAAAAACACTGATAAAGAAACAAATCTGTCAAAAGGTTCTACCCAAAAAAAACCAGAATAATTAATCTAAAATAATTGGTTAAACCATTATATGCGTTTCAATAAATAGAGATGACTGTTTATTTGCCGAATATACGAATATCGTCCTTATTAAGTACGTCCGATCGTGTTTTTCCCGGCTTAGTTCGAACCATGCCCACTCATGTATCCTACGTAGCCTATCCGAAATATTTCATATATTTTATTACTTAATATATTCCGGAACTTATATCGAATTACTTCTATCAAAAATGAAAATTTCTTAAACCTTAATAGCATCCCTATAAACACTGTGGAAGTGAAGAACATGATATATATGTATGTTTATTCTGTGCTCTAATATTCTGCACATTTGCCATTTCTTATTCGTTTCGTAATTTTAAAAAATCCTAACTTAATGACTCTGATAGAACTTGAATTTATTCATATTTTAATTATTTTATTTTATTTTGTTTTATTTTGTAGAAAAGAAAAAAAATAGAGAAAGAAAAAAAAATATATAAATATATATATATATATATATATATATATATATATATATATATATATAGTTATATATATATATATAGTTATATATATATATATATATATATATATATATAACTAATGAAAGATGAAATTTTGAATTTAATTTAATTTAACTGCAAAAGAATAAAAGAAAACGAAAAATTTTTTATCTTAATCTAAACTAAATATTTTTTTTCGTAACGCATGGTAAAGGGAGAACTTGGCATATAGCCCAGTGTGCTTATTTCAGCTCCATGTGCATTCTTATTCACTGCAGTTTAAATGGTCGTCACAATTGCCCACAATCGAAGAAATTTACTCGTGATCACTTAACGTTCTTTTACTAATTAATTACAACCAATCACCCATGATAATTCGGACCTTTAATCTTCACCATGATTGAGTGATCGGAAGGACTTAAAAATTCTCTTACTATTTAAGAAGTTCAGCGATAGCTCCAAAACACTCGTCTGCGATCTAAGTTGAAATTGAAGATGGGGATGATTCGTAGGTGATTGTAAATGAAGTAGGTCGATATTGCTGTAGGTTGAGATTCTTTTGAATGATACACTGATTTTAATAGGCGATAGTTATTTTTTAACGGACTTCTTAACGGACAGCAGTTACTTCACGAAATTCTACTATCTTTTAAATACAGTCTGTGCGACTGTTAAAAGAGCAGAAAACTTTGCGAATGAACACTGATTCTAACAACTACATTGCACGCAGTCGATACGAATTTACTTGTTTAAATCGAGAAACACGAATGAACAAACTTCTACTTCGCGATATTTTTATTTTAGCTTCTGAAACAAAAGTCCACGGTAATCTAAATTTTGAAATAGAAAAATAAAACAAAATAATTAATACCACTGTTACAATAAGAAATTGCTATATTGTTACAATTATTAAAAAAATTTGTGATATAAAAATATACTTACTTTAGGATTTTGTTGATATTTGCAGAAAAGACATCTTGAGAGAGCTTCAATGTTTAGTCATTGAAATACAAAGAAAAACTGATCCAGTAATTGTTAGTTTGTCAAAAGTTTGTTTTTGTCGATATTTTATAAAGCCAACTTCCTTGAGTTTAAAACTTAAGTTTAAGAGAAAATAAATTTAAATTATTTTATGTTTAACGAATGTTTCAAGCTGTGTAACGTTTAAGTTAATTTACTATTATTTAAATATTAATTTATTTAATACTGCATACTTTTATGTTGTTTAAATAAATCTAAACTTATTGAAAGTATTAATTTTTAAGTTTTCACGTTTTTAAGTTTTCACCTTTCGATGTTCATTTAAAATCCGAAAGAATACTGATCTAATGACCGTCAGTCAGTCACCAGTCCAAATTTTTTAACATTACACGTAGCCAATGACTGTAAAATAAAAATTTTTAAGTATTGAAAATTTAAATTAAGATTATTTTAAGTTTTTCACGTATTTCGAGCTATGAAATGTTTAATTAAATAAATGTGCTATTGTTTAAATATTAGCTAATTGTTTAAACAATTTTAAAATGATCGAAAATATGATCAATTATAATTTACCCGTTAGGAAAGAGACTGCTTCGATGTTTGCTCTTTAGAATCCAAAACGAAACTGCTTCGATAAGAGTTGAAGCCAGCGAAAAGTTTGTCTTTGTTGACGAAACAGGCAATGACCATGCATTCAAATTTTAACTATATTTAAATATTAATTTAATTCTATTTTATATTTAACGGATGTTTCGAAGTATGAAATGTTTAAATAAATCTGCTATTGTTTAAATATTGGTTTATTATACTCCATATACATTATACATCTTTTAAATAATCGTGATATTATTTAAAAATTATATATTATTAATAATAAAATATATATTATATTAAATATATAAAATATAAATATATATTATATATAAAAATTATATATTATTAATAATAAAATTATATATTATTATTAATACCCATTAACATGAATTACTGAATATGTATTTGCTTATTTTTACCATAGAATCATTAATTGAAAGCTCGTTAAAATGTCTGAATGAATTACTGTAGCTTTTCGTTGGAAGCATTATGAAATGAGTTTCTTTGCGTTTGAAATATTTCAGAAAATCTGAGCATTAATTCATGTACATAATAGTTTATTTCATGGAAATATTATATGGGTTGTTCGGAAAGTAATTTCATTTTTTCCCGACAGAAAATTTAATTGTATTTTTTTGCACCCAACTTCACACTTAAACCGCATAATCATTATATGTTTTAAAAGCTGATATAGCAAGGCTTGTGTGTGAAAAAGTTCAATTGATTCTATGCAGTAGTTTTTGGTTGATGCCCTTTTAAATATGAAGAGCAATAAGCAGCATTTTTGTCATATTTTACTTTTTTACTATAGAAAAGGTAAAAATGTTGTTCAAGCCAGAAAGAAATTAACCGATGTGTATAGAGAAGATGTGTTGACAGTACGCCAGTGCTAGAACTGGTTTGCAAAATTTCGATCCGGCAATTTTGATGTCGAAGATGCACCACGTTCTAGAAGGCCGGTTGAAACTGATAAAGACACGATAAAAGCATTAGTTGATGCAAACTAGCGAATAATAACACTTAAGATCGGTGAGAGGTTAAATTTATCAAATTCAACTATTTATGACCACTTGAAGGGCCTAGGTTTAACACCGAAGCTCGATATACGGGTTCCCCATGTTCTCACGGAGAGAAATTTGTGTCGTCGCATTGACGTCTGTGATTCACTTCTCAAACGTCACGAAAATGATCCATTTTTGAAGCGCATCATTACTGGGAACGAAAAATGGGTTATTTTAGGTGGACCGGAAAGTAATGTCGCTTTCTTAAATTAAATTCAAACGAATAAATTTTTAACAAGTTTTTATTTTTAATCACAATCAAATATCGACATGCGCAGAAACGACATTACTTTCCGGCGCCCCTAATATATAACAATGTCAAACGCAAGAGATCATGGAACAAAAAAGATGAACCGGCTCAAAGCATTTCCAAAGCCAATATCCATCAAAAAAAGGTGATGTCTGTTTGGTTTAAAAGAAATCGTTTTTTTTGAGATTTTACTGGATAACACAAAAATTAATTCGGTAATCTATTGTCATCAGCTGGACAAACTGAATGATGCACTTCAACAGAAAAGGCCAGAATTAATCAACAGAAAAGGTGTAGTGTTCCACCAAGATAATGCGAGACCTCATACAAGTTTGGTCTCTCGCCAAAAGCTTTTACAGCTTGAATGGGATACAATGCCACATCCACCATATTCTCCAGATCTGGCACCTTCGGATTATTATTTGTTCAAGTCACTACAAAATTTTTAGACGGTAAAACCTTCATTTCAAATGAGAAGGTCAAAAACTACTTCGATCAGTTTTTTGTCAGCAAAGACCAAAAATTTTATGAGCGTGGAATCATACTACTACTAGAAAGATGGTAAAAGGTATTGGACGAGAATGGCCAATATATAATTTAATAAAATATTTGTTTATTATACGAAAATTGTTTTCCATTTTCACAAAAAAAAAAAAGAAACGAAATTACTTTCCGAACAACCTATTAAAACATACATTACAACAATTAAGCATTTATGTGAAAATCAGTGGTAAAGGTACAATATTCTTCTTTTTTGCTGTAAAATTCAAAGGTTGCCATTATACGAAATTTTTTTGCCAGGAGAAATGATGAAACCGCATTTAAATTTTTCCAATATATAATATTTGATTAGATAATAGGTTAACCAGAATTTTTGTTCCTTACTATATGTATCATTATAATGTATTTTAAATAATTCTCTCAAAGAAAAGAAACAGTGTATAAGAGAAAGTAATTCTCTTTTAAAAATACAAAAAAGAAACAATGTGCTTAACAATGCTCAACTTATATAAAGATAAATATCAATACACTCTAACCAATTATTAGTGTTATCAAAAATGAGCTTTTATATACTTTACCTATCAAAAATTATTTTAAATATAAATGTAAATATATATATATATATATATTTATTTATTTATATATATATAACCCTTGATCCTTATGTATCCGTTTTCTTATTTTACTTACAATTAATGATTTAATATCCATAATTGGTATAATAATAATAATCATTATTATAAAAAATATAAAATTACAAAAACATTATGTTTTAATTCATATAATGTTTTCATATTTAATTATAGCTTACTGGCTGCTTGATCCTGTTGCTTTATAAATTTATTCAATAGTTCGTGAGCTTCATCATAATAAGGTCTAGTTTCCTGTTGTACTCTTTCCATCCAAGCATTAATACGAGGCCATTTTGCACATAGATCATATCCAGTTAAACCTATAATTTAATATATAATATTTATTGTAATATACCTATTTTATATAATAGAATCATAATAATACAGATGTAAAAAAGTTGTATAACGAAAAATGTAAAAATATGGATTACTCATAAATAAACTCACGTAGTTGCTCTAATTCACAAGCACCAAATATATCACTTATATTAATTTTATTGCCTGTAAGAAATAATTTATCTTTCAGCCAGATATTTTCTATTAAATCAAGACAACCTAACATTTGTGCTTTATACTTTTCTATTTGTTCAGGTTTAGCTGGCTTTCCTGTTTGTAAAGGATTAAGAAACTATAACAAAAAAAAAAAAAAAAAAAAGAATAAAATTAGAAAAATATTCATTATATTATATTACGATGTTATTTAAAATTCCGCGAGAATTCTTATTTTAATTTATTGATACTATTACCGTCACTGCAAAATATGATGCACATTTTAATCTAGTATTTAAATGTTGCCATTCTAAATACTCATCAACTTTGGCTTGTTCTCTTGATGAAAAAGGATACCAATGTTGAGGTATTTTATATTCTCTACACAAATATCTCGCAATTGCAATGCTATAAAGATATTAGTTGTTAAATATTATCAAATAAAATAAATTATCCAATCAAACATACCTTTCTGTCAATTTAAAGTCATTGTGTTCTATAATTGGAACTTTTTTAAATGGATTAATAGCCTCAAATTCGGGAGTAGTATGCTCAAGTTTAATTATCTTTATCGGTTTCGCCTCAAAAGGTATATTGGCAATTTTTAGAAAAATATACAGTGCTCTTGATGGTTGTGAAAATAAATCATAATAGAACTTAAGACCGCTCATTATTGTTTACGATAATATAAATTATTTTACCTGAAACAAACAATACGAAATAATTATGTATGTAATAAGATTATATTACCAATCCCCATAAATGAAAGTTTTCACCGATGAAGTGAAACAAAAAAGGTTACTTTGTCCGTTTTACGCAAGATGTTCTGCGCAGATGGTTAAATATGAAACCGAATTATTCATTAGTTACTGATATTAAACAGTAGGATAGTACAATTTATCCATCTTTATAAAAAAGAACTATAATACATTTGAATAAAAGAATAGAACCGTCTTAAATTTTTAAGAATATACTAAATTAATAAATTTCAGATTGCTTTAATCTCCAAATAGCGTGTTTTAGCATCCCCACTTTCTTTTATTAAGAGAATTATCAAAAATCCTCTGACAGATAGAGAAAATGATTGTCTATACTATAATATTTTTTACATTTTCCCAATCTAATTGGCAATATAATTGACGTTAACGTGTTAGATATATGCCTTACCGCAAATATAGTTTTGTATATCAGTTTTACCATGTCGACTTTAATTTGTTAATAAAATTACGTAATATATATGGAGAAAAATTATTATCTTCTAAAAAATTTGAGAACACTATTATTACAAGAACCTTTGACCCCACTATGCATGTATCAAGATTAAACAAATTAAAGGAATTAATACTTTAAAGAAAAAACTAGCTTTGTGAAGATATTTATTGAAAAAAAACTGTAATGGAACAAATCGAATTCCATGTTATAAATTTACTTGTGTTTTATATGGCGATATCCGGTTTAATACATAGAAAGAAAGAGAAAGAAAAAAATTTTGGAATATTGAAAAATAGGGTATTTGCAAAAACATTGCACTTGTGACTATCAAGAATATTATTATAGAGATTTCATTGCTATAAAGTTTGCTATTAAATCAGTTATTTTTTTGAGAATTGTGTAGTAAGTCCTTGTAAATATATATACGTAAAAAGAGAGGTTAATATCACAACAATTTAGTAATTCAAGTAGCAAGGTTTTTTCAAACAACAACAATGAATCCAACTAAATCAAAATTATCAAAGAGTATTTTACAAATGAAGGTATATTAAATTTTGTTTATGATTTTAATTTTATATTCAAATGTAGTGTGTAATGATAGTGCAATAATCTTGCATGTGCTATTTGTTGAAAACGATGCAGTATTATTTAATAATATTGTGTTTTACGATATGATGTGTTTAACGTATATTTATATTTATATAAGAAAATATTTATAGTTTATGAAGAGGACAAAAGAAAAAGTTGAAAAACAGATGATAGAGAAAGAAGGAGAAGAATATTTCAGTGGTCAACTTTCAATTCAGATGAAAAATGAATCGTATACATTTTTGAATATATTCTAATATAACTTTTCTATTCAAATTTACACAAATGCTTATTTTAAGGTAATTATATATATATATATATATATAAAATATATTCTATTTCAGAGAGAAATTTATCATTGAGCCCAGTTACGTGTTTTGTGAAAAATTGATTGATGGTAGACTGAGTTTCCAGGGTATGAATCCTGAATTAGAAAAATTGTTAGAAATAGAAAATGTTGATAAGCAGATAGAATTGGAGAAAAAACAAGAAGCAGATGTAACAGATGAACAAATGGTAAAACAATGGATAAATCTTAGAAAAAAGAAGAACAAATTTAAAAGAACAAAAAAAATAAAAAATAATATTAATCAACCTTTGAATAAAAACCCAAAATTTTTAAAACCAATTGATTAATATTAAAAAATTTATAGTGGTGTATGTACACAATATATCTTTTCAAAACTCGTATATATATGTATATATATTTAAATTTAGATTACTTAAATTAAATAGATTTTGTAATGACTATATTTAATTGTATTAATATGTATAAATATATAGAATAAATATCATACAATTGCATAGATTTACATATTTTAAAATAAAAGATAAGTTTGAATAACCTAGTGAAATATTGTAAAATTTATAGAACATTATCTAAGTTTGAAATTTATTAAATTTTTTTTACCCAAGTTTTTTGTAATTTTATTTTCTACAAGTATTTTATTTATTGTTATTATTAATATATTTGATATTTTATATTTTTATGAGTTTAATCTGTAGATACATCTAACAAAGAATTAAATGTATCAACACATACACCCTCAGTACCGTCTTTTTGAATTGCTTTCTCCCAGAGTATATCAAAAGTGTTATCAGGAAATATAATTCCAATATTTTCAAATATACTTCGTATTTCATGTTTACTTCGAAGCTATAAATATTTGGGTTCCATAATATGAATAATTCTAGATTAACGAACATAATAGTTTTAAGTTTATAATTTAGTGATCAATACCTTGAAAAAATCTATATGATCCAAGCCATATTTTGTAAAAATATTGGGAAAAATTAAAGCATAAGCATTATCAATCTTTGCATACGATTTTTCATTACAAAAATGATATTTTGATGGAGTTATGTAAGATTTATTTTCATTTTCATGTAGAGATGATATATCTTCTTTACTTTCTGAAATATGTTATTATTTCTATTAATGGAATAACTATTCAAAACTAATATTACATACACAAATCTTATAAAAAGAAATATTGGTACTTTTTGTTATCGGTAATGTGGGAAATGGACATTTCCAATTTAGAAGATCCACTACATCATTATAAAAAAGTTTTCCATTTTGTCGTAATCCTAAAAGATCTAACAATGCTTTAAATAGTTGTCTTTCGGGATGGATATTATAGTTCCCTAAAATTGTAAATACATCTTCTTCTGTTAGGATACCAGTATGTTCCTGAAAATAACAGTAGAAGTTGACATAAAAATTTCTCTTATTTCTATTGTGGCAAAAAGAAAAGAAATTTCCTAATCTAAATGGAGAAGGTAAAGAGAAAAAAAAGAAAGGAGAAGGTGAATATGTATGTTAAAAAATATCCCTGAAAAAATGTTCCTGAAAATACATTAAAAAATATTTAGATGTATATACTGTTTATTCTATTATTAATTATAAGTAATTGTGTAAATATCATTACCTTGTCCAAAGAAGTCAAATTTTCATAAATATCGAAGTAATCGATATATGGAATACGTTTTTTAAGATTATTACGTAAGCTACGCAGATATTGTAAATATTTCCATTTAAAGAGTAACGTTTTGTCTATAGGTGATTCTTGTAGTGCATCAGCTACTGAATCTATTTGCTTTGCCGAGGGTTTACCATATATAGTTGATGGAGATAAACATTTTTTTGTCGGATTTCTTCAGAAATTTCAATGATTTCTTTTGTTGACTTTATATTATATTCGATTATTAATTTTACTATAATAATTACATTATTTACATTACTTTATTTGTCCAAGAAGAAGTTGTGTGTCTTTTAAGAAATCTGCTTGAATATAATTGACTAACGTAGTAGCATTATAATCTTTGCCTTGTATAATCTTTTTAATTCGAGATCCTTCTACATCAGCATTATTCTTTTTTCCGAAATATGTATATTTGTTAAAGTGACAATTATAACTATGTGAATAGAATTACTTTTATTAATTTTGATTAAGACGTTAATCAAAATATAATATGCTATGCGAAAGTATTTCTATAGTTTTAAGTAAAATAGATAATTTTTTTATTGGATAAAGTAATTTACTACATTTTTCAAAAATGCCAGAGTTTTAATTGTTTGACTTTAAAGAATGTGCGTGTGCTTTCACGAATTATAAATATACAAATATATTACTTTCTAGTAATTTGTGTTCCTTCATCTTCTTGACTTATTTCTTTAAATCTACAGAAATTAACATCTGTGCGCATTATTGGTTTTCTGTCAATTTTGGGAGGATTAATTAAATCCGCCATTGTTGCCTCTAGTAAACAAATGCTCATGTATGTATATAAATATATAAGTATATTTTTCTTATATTTGTTTTTAAAACGATCCTAAATTAGATCCAAATTAGAATTAAAAAATTTTTTTTTCTATTCTAAGAATGTGTTTAATCAAGTTGCGGTAAAAAAATAAATAGAATTAATTTGGGATCGTTTTTGAAAGCACAAAATTGATTTTAAAAGTATATTTTTTATATATAAGGCCATACCAGATTTAAATTTTTTTCCGAAAGTTGTTTTTAGGGGATCCATACCGATTGGTAAATATGGTACTAAATAATGAGTTTTTCCAACTTCTTTATTCCAATAACTTTTCATTACAGTATTTTTCAATTCCCAAACGAGTGTTTGGAATGGTGTTAATAATTGATATTGCAAACATTCTTTTACCTATAAAATAACACTTCAATTACTTCGTTCTTTACAAATTTATCCTAACCTAATCGTATATAATCGCATGTGGTCAATATTCGATAATGTAATTTATTATATGGTTTCAGTTACAGTTAGAGGCATTCACTTCTGCTTGATACTCGAATTTTAATCTTAACAAAGTTAGATTATAGAGAATTATAATATTTTGTAATAATAACAATTATTTTTACATACGGTCGAATTAGAGTCCGAATTTTTATTATATTTTGAATTAAGTTTTTCAGATAAAATATGAAACGAATTTGTGCTCGAGTTTGCCATTATTTTTATTATTTCTAAGACAGTAAATAACGAATAAATAAAATATTGATGAATGTTCACGGTAGCTGGTTAATACGTATTCGTAAGTTCAACATTTTATTAAAACAAAAGAAAGAACATTGGTATAAAAAGACGTCTATTATTCTTTTATTCCATCTATTATTCTGAAAACAGATGTAATTAGAACTATACTACAATAATATATATATATTGTTTTATACACACATATATATATATACACAATATAATTTACCTATATAATATTTTATCTGCAATATATATATATATATATATATATATATATATATATATAATATATATAATGGAAATTATAGGTATTATGTATATATGTATTATATATCGAAAATTAGATCAAAGATTTTGATTTGTACTAAGTAAGTGGAATATAAAATATTTTCTGAGATAATTTTGAGATCAGCTTGTCGTATTGCAGCGTATTACTTCGCTAACAAATTATGCCAATTACGATACGATTCCAATTCTTAATTAGAATAAATATATGATTATGTAAATTTTTAGTAAAAGTAATCAGATACGTTGTACACCTGCATTGATAATAGTAAAAAAAAGATATAAAAAGAATCACGCGTATGCATTGGAAATAAGAAAGTAAATAACGAAACCGGTTTTTTTTTCGGTGAGTGATGAAGGCCACATGTAAAACATCAACTGATCGAAGGACGAATTTAGTTTTATTTTCTTTTATTTCTGTTTCTTTTTATTTTATTTACGTCAATAGTTTTAATCGACTTCGGTCTATATCACGAAATGCATTTATTATATAATAATACATTTGTGGAAAAAGAAAAATGAAAGGAATTCATAGAAGCAAACATAATTTAATATCAAAGGACGCAAAAGGATTCTTTTGGTCAAATTTCTTTGTATACTTATACATATTATATTTATGTACATACGTATATGTATATGTATACGTATGTTCAACCGCTTCACTTGAAGCTCACTCCTCTCGTGTCACTTAATTATCGCTCGCAATTAAGCGTTTGTTTTATTGAATTCGGAGATATGTGTGCTCACAAAGCAAGAAAGATCATGAGAAAGATCAGCTACACGTTCTGACTGAATTAACGTCGCTCGAGTATACAGTTAAAAATATATACCACTGGTTTAATCACGAGACTACATAATTGCGTTGTCAAGCTAACACTCAACAATAACAACATAACAGATTTAGCTCCGTTTTCTCTTTAATCGAGAATCTTCTTCTTTCTCCTTCGTCCTCATTCATCTTCTTTTTTGTACATATACGAATATCTTCCTTTCCTCTTCCCGTGCATCTTTTTCTAGGGATAATACTTTCCACATAGAAAGATTACAAGATAAAAATGAATAGGTGGTCATTTAACCGTCTGGAAGATCAAGTCAGAGCAATACTAATTTTAACATTAAATTATTCGTTAGTTACTTTGATATAAACGTTTGAATTTTTTGATTCGTGATGGGTTCATGCAGACAAAGTTCATTTTAGAAAAATATGACGAAATATGAGCTTTGACTTTAAATATTTATATTCAAATCGAGATTCCTTTCTAGAATCTTCATTCATTATCTTTATCTCTCTGCCTCTCTCTTGATATCTCTTTCTGAGATTATCCTTATTCACGAGTTAAGAATAAAGATTTAAAGATAAAAGCATAAGGCGAATGGACGGTCGTTTAAGAGTCTAGAAGATTAAGGAGATAATTATGAGATTTCCTTGCCATGGGAAAGGTCATGTACCGTGTTTGATGTGATTCCGAGTCATGCTACTCTCCTTTTGTTAATAAAAATATATTTTCACGATAAATATCGCGTTTCGATTTATCGGAAAGAGGGTTTAGTGGAATAATAAAAATGAAAAAACGTACAATATATATAGATAAAAAAAATTGTTTTAGTCTTGTTCGTAAGTTATAAAATTGATTTCGAAATGTTTACATTTACTTTTTATAAAGCATAGATTATTTTGTCAATTAGAGTTTCATCTTCCTCGAATTATCAATCAGAATTATGGAATTTGTTTCGGATGTACATTTCTTAAAATGTGTTCTCATATTGCTACTTTGGGAAAAATTGAGACCACATTTGGAACATGAATAAGGTTTGGATCCAGTATGAGAGTTGAGGTGAGTCTTTAAATGGTGCTTCTTAGTGAAGGCCTTGGAACAGAGATTACATTGATAAGGCTTCAACCCAGAATGAAGCTTCGTGTGAAGCGTCATGTTCGATCTATCCGCAAAAGCCTTCTGACAGATGTGACATCGATAGGGTCGTTCGCCAGAATGGGTCCTGAGATGCTGTTTAAGAAGCATTTTCCGCGAGAAAGCTTTACCACATTGTTCGCAACTGTGTGGCTTTAAACCGGTGTGTATCTTAGCATGCATATTATAAGCTACTCGTTGATTGAAACTCTTGCCACATACGAGACAAGCGTATTCCTTACGATTACGATGGATCTTCATGTGCGAGCTAAGGTAACCACGATCGTTGAAGTATTTCCCGCATTCCGGGCAACTCGCTGCGAATTCCCGTGTACCTTCGTGCATGCTACGATGGTACTTGTAATTGCGCAACTGCGAAAATTCTTTTCCACAGTCGGCACAACGAAATGGTTTCTCTTTTTTCGTTTCTTCTTTTTCGTTCCTTTGAAGATCTTTACGAGGATCATCGAGATTTTCTTTTTCAGATTTTCTCCCTGATGTCTTCTCTTCTCGAACCTCTTTGGATAGGTACGTCGTATCGATGGAATCGACGATACTTTCGAAAGAAGAATGTTGCTTGGTAGAATCGTCGTATTGAACACCATACGAAGTTACGCTGATTTTATCTTCTTTCAACTTGTCCGTTAGTTTATTGGTATTCTGCAATAGTCATTGATAAATACTAAATAAGGAATGAAGATGTAAATAAAGGATACTTACGAGACCATTCGTCAGATTCGATCGAACTTTTGGCGAATGATGAAGTTTGACGATTTGACGCCAAGGTGATGCCGTCACACAATTCGCTACGTGACGACGACGTCGATCGGTTTTCCACCATCTTTCCTCGGAGTAAACTATATCCTTGTTTATCCATGGGTAATCTACTTTGTTAGATGATTCCAATTTGTCTGAATATTTCAGTGACGTCAATTGTGTCTTCCAAGAGTCCTCTGTTCGAAATTTAAGCGATTCTAGAGGATGTTCAGTGACTCTACTTAAGTCCAAAGACATTTCATACGGTGGATGACTTGGGCCAACCTTGAAATCGAAGGTATACGATGTATTCTCTCGATCAAATGTATTGTAGACGATCGCAGCAGGCAGGGGTGGAAGACATATGTGTAAGACTGTAGCTGTTCGTAGAAATGCGTTCAATCTTGCTCGTGATACTTTCGTACTACCGGTATAGATAAAATCGAGGATTGCCGATAATTCCGTTGATTCGATCTCTGCTAATACGATGGTTATAGGTTCTCGATGATTCGACGATTTGTTATCAGCCTCCAAAATTTTCTGTGGTGAATACAAAGAAATGTCTTTTTTTTTTCTTTTCTTTGGATAGTACTTGACAATTGAAATAATAACCAGGGCATCCAAAAATTTTAATGATCTCTGCCGATGCGAAAGTGCGAGAATTATGTAACGCGATTTAATGAAGTAACAAAAAGATTGACAAGAAAAAAAGAACGAACCTGTAGGTAAGGACTAGCAGCTGAAAGAACGAGTCGATGCGTCAAAAACCTTTCACCACCGAAGCAACAAAGAACGACGTCCGCGCATGTTCGGGATGGCGTTGCTCCTTTTAGAAAATTTTCTATATCCGGCGACGTTTTTCCATAAAGACATATAGTTTCTCCCATGATTTATTAATTTATTACAATTAATATATATATATATATGTAATGTATGGTATATATAAAGAAATTATATTGAAAAATATATATTTTCTCAAAAGAATCAACTTCTTCTTTCTACGTTACAATCTTTAGTTTTCTGCATTTCTAATGACTCTATTGCACGTTGATTTCATTGATGATCTTTTATAGTAATGCTCTTACCGATCGATGATCGATTCTTATCTTCGATTCACTTTTAATACTTCTCAATGAAATAATATTCCATTATAGATAATATAATTAACACGATCAGCTGAGTTTTACTGTTATATTATATGATTTTATTATTTCCATTTTTTTTCTTTCTTTTTTTTCTTTTCACATATGTACGCTGTTTCACGGTACATGAACGATCGACGGTGATCGTATCGCACGATCGACGAACATTCGAAAGACTTCGACCGTCCGTGGAGACTATCTTTTCTCCATATGATCTTATCTGAATGAAGCGAGAAGACGAGGTGTGACTTGTCTCCTACCATGCTTACCTTACCCTCTCCCATTCTCTTTACAACCCTTCCTAGTGGTAACTCGTGGCTTTGAAATAAAGAACATTTTAAAAAATGACTTTCTCCAAAAAGAAAAAGAAGGAAAAGAAAAAAGAAAAAGAAAGAAAATTTTATACCTCCCATCAATTTTCTTCTCGTTAAATTTAATAGCATACATTTCAATTTTTATCTTCAAAATAGTATCGTATTTCGATCTTTTGTTTTTAACAATATAGAATCAATCGTTTGTTTATTTATAACCTCTTGTATATGTTCTAAGTGTAACCAAAGGACGAATTTTTAGGTCAAGACGGGGGAGTATTCTCAATTTAATATTTAAACATTTTTCGAAAGTAAAAAAAATTGAAACGAAATTATTATGGTTCTTAGCGGTATCGATGCTAAAATAAAAGCTTGGACGCCTCCGACATCTTACAAATTTCAAGATAACATCATCTCTTCGGATCATGCAACAAAGAAGGTGTTTATACCGTCTTATGAAAAGTACGTATGTATTCGTATCGTGTCCTCGAAATTATCCTACAATGTATTCCTTCCTAAGGATACACAGCATGCATATTTATGTATACTTATTTATAATTGTGTTGGGCAAGAACGAAGTGTGACACAACGCTCGAACGCTTATGCAAATTCATCTTGATGATCTTGATTTCAAAACCACGCCCGAAAGAAATATATAATTCGACGTATTACGTTTTCGTAGAGAGAGACGCCCGTGCATCGAGTTACTATTGTCGAATGAATATCAGCGAATTTGGTGGCAAGAAAAGAAAGTTTGGGAGAAGGCAGTTATTCCAAAGGCGAGCACGAATAAATTATTATTACGAATGGTATGAGTGTATGTTTTGTAAATTAATTTAATTGATATCATAGGGTTAAGTTCAAAATTAAATGTTTTTTAGACAATTAAAAAGAAGAAAAAAAAAGAATAATTATCCGCCTACCTTTCTGATGTTTAAATTGACAAAGAAACAGAAAAAGAGAGAAAATTTGGATTTAGATAAAAAAAATCGTGTACTCTTCAAAAATGTCATGGATAAAACTTATACGTGCAAATCTTTTGTATTGTTTTAAATAATCTATGTTGAATAAAATAATAAAAGATATCTGAAAGTTTTTTCGAAAAAAAAATTATATGAATTCACATTGATTGAAAGAGCAAATTGAAAAAATGAAAATTTTTGAAATGGTTATTACGTTGAAGCTTCATTGAAACGAATTCATTCGAAGACCTTGGATTAAATTAATCGTTTTATCCTCTTCCGATCCAGTTTTCCATTAATCCTAAAAATAAGTTTTACGATCTGTATCTACTGAAGTATATAACACGGATCAGAAACATATATAAATGGTTATGTCGTGAGATGGTAGAAATCAGTATCAGAAACACGTGTTTTTTTTGCATTCTATATATCTGTACTTAATCCGCTGTCGAGATCCCCACCTGCTGAACGATGTAAGGTTTCGGTAAGCTTCAGCGTGCTTTTACTGTACCAGTACAATTCATAAGTGTTGCCTCGTATGTTACTGTTTTAATACGTCCCCATGGAGCAATAAAATTTTTATAACAAGGTGCATCGAATAAAAAGAGTTTAAGTAATATTTCGTCATCGATAACGAATTCGTATCGTTGAGTGTAAAAATTGTTTAAAGTGACTGTAAGAATACATGCTGATTCGATAGTTCGGTGATAACTATTTTTTCAGTTCTAATAGATTTAAAAAAGAGAACAAGTAAAAAAAAAATCGCAAGATAAACAATCGCCAAAGAAGCGACGATCCCGAATGAATCCTGT